CTGCGCTTTGCAAGGAGTAAGAGCTCAGTAGGTAGATATGATAGAGTGATTCAATAATAAAAACGCGTTAATATTACGCGTTTTTTATTTGTCTTGAAAAGGTTGGTGATGAGTTGTTGCTCGTCCGATCTTGCCTGGAGGTTCAAGAATGCTGGTCCCCAAACGTCACGTGTTTTTCTACGTACTCTCTTTTTTCGGTTGTGTGTGGGTAGAGGGATTCTAGAGCCTACGCTACGGTTATTTTAATCCAGAGGGCGTAGCATCAAGAGAGGAGAGACGGCCGAAAATACATGTGAGAGATTCCAAAGAAGAAGGTGGTGGTAGAACGCTAACCAATCATGCCGAGGGCAAGGACTTAGCTAGCTACACTTGCTTTTGGCATGCAATACAAAGGACTTACTTATGTTTCTACACATAATACCGGTCTATTGCACCGATGTCTCTTATTGTCTTATATCAACATAGGAGTCAAATAAACACAACTAGAAACGTTCCATTTGAGTAGTTTTTACTTGCAACGAGATGTTATCTCAGCTGGGAGTACATTCTGGAAAGCACATATGTTGAGGTATACAATTTGACAAGGTATAAACATAGCAGTTAGAATCTTTTCGAACAGAACTAGAGTTGTTTCCTTCGACATACATAAGCACAATTTAGATTGGAATAAAAATCACTCACTATCTTGAGATTACCCATCTCTCTTCAATATCATATTTACATTAATAGCAGTGGTTTACTGTGAATGAGGAAGTGCTGACCAAGCAACTCGGTTGGGCAAATACCCCACATAGGAGTGGACTCCTCCATCAACACCACAATTATCGTTCTCATTGCACGACTCAGGACTCTTTTGTTAGAGATAATTTATCAACAATGAACTTACGAAATGCATCCAAACGTTCTTCTCGCAGGAACAAAGCTTTAGTTTGACGAGGCAAATTTATATTTACATTAACGTGAACTTGAAATTATAGGTAAGAAACGTGGTTGTTACTCTATATGTATCTTTCCCTCTTAGAATCACATTACCCTAAAAACTTTATATAACTAAAATAGTTGTATAGAGGGTTTAGAATAATTGTCAAAGCTTACTTTCTACTAGCCTAGGTATCCTTAGATAATTATCTTACTTATACTAGAAATTCAACATAATAACATTCTATATAGTATATATAGAGTAATAACCGAATATCTTGCAATTAATTCAGCAGGTCACGTGAGAGACCAATGTGGGATATTCTAAACCCTCACTCTCTCTCTCTATATATATAAGTAGGGAATAATTACCTAGGACAAAAGCTATAATCCGATATATACTCACACCTCTACTACAGTAAATAAGTCGAATATACACGAGCTTAGTTAAACGCAACAGCGTCGAAAGATCATAAATTTAAGAATCCAAGAGATTCAACTTGCTCAGGAATGGTTGTTCAGAGATCGCATGCGTTCAGAGGCACGGACTTACAATGAGGCACATGGATTTGAGAATGAGTACGATGTTGATGAAGATGTTGAGGAGGATTTAGAGTTGGAAAATGTGCAAAAGCAGTCAGAATCGCGAAACGTTGAAAACTACGTTCAAGTCCCCCCTACCTTAGCTAATGTCTACTAATTCATCTGAACTTACAACACCCGAAGTGAGATCTACTCTCGAACTCCATCTTTCCCTCCAATATCTTTCTCAAAGTCGTGTTGTTAATAACTACTATCAATGTATCTGACAATTGAGTGAAAGCCTACTTCTCCTATCCAGCATAACAGCATCTAGAGTATCCCAAGCTTCCCTTGCTGAGTTCAGAGGTTTACAGCTTAGGCAAGAGTGAGACCTTCGTTGATAATGTACTTCACGTATGCATTGTCTTTGTGAGAATTCTGTTATCATAAATCCAGAAAATCCTCCCTCGGCAGCAGAAACCGGAGCTATGCATTCTAGGCATGCCAAGAGCTCTGTACTTTTTAGCGTATGTGGCAATTGATCTTTTATTACTAGGATAAAACACTGAAGACTAGATTTTGACTACGAATATGGCTCTGAGTATGGTATGTTGAGACGATCTAGTAGTTAAGTTAAATAGTGTTAAGTAGTGGATTCGACTACGGGATTAGTATTAAGTAGTGTACTAAACATCTTAAAATAGTACTCAAATTCAACATGATAAATGGACTATGCAAAACGTAACTAAACCATAGAATAATAAGGATATCTAAAATAGTAGCTCTCTTGGACTACTATCCACATAAACCTGAAAGTGCTCAACTACCTCCATTTCCAACACTTCACCTGAAGCTTCCTCGAAGGTATAATCTTCATGTTCATCCTTGTAGATATCGAGTCTAGCTATACAACATCGAAATAGTTCAATATAAACCAGTATACGCCTATCAAACCGCGAAAAGGAAACCATCAAATCCTTCAACTCACACCCTCCCTTCCCTCCCCCTACCCATCTCCCTGCTCCATCCACCCTTCTTCTATAGCAATCCACCAGGGCCAACTTCACATACCAACTCACAACAGCACCTCTGTCCCCGACTCTCTCTCACAACCCCATCAGCCCATCCTCAACACATCCTCCATACCCTACAATACAAAAAGCTCCATTTTAGTAGAGCCAAGGGCTTCTAATGAGATCCCCATACTGTGCAGTACTGGCCATGCTTCACCCCCTCCTCCCCAAGAAATGCGAATACAGAAATCCATTCTAGTGGTGCCACACAAAACAAGTACTCCAACCTGTTATCACAGGAGGGTAGTGTGCGTGGGTGGGGGTTGTATAATTCGTCTGATTTTACACCACACACTATTGAATGTACTGTCGAAAATATTCTTGCGTTCGAAGATTCTCTTCCCCTCGAAGATTCTCTTCCCCTCTAAAACCCCCCTGCCCTCGAAAACACACTCACCTCTGAATACCAAAAAGTCACCGATCCCTCAAAGTAAATCCAAGTCGCGTCATGGCCTCCGCAAGTACAATCCAAAGAACACAATGTTAAGTATCGGGCATCTCTCGGAAAAAAAAGTAATACCGTACTACAAACCACAGCGGAACTCGCATGTGATTCAAGGGTAGTTTAGTTGCCGCCATTGGATCGTACCTTACTCGTACATACTGGTTTCTGTGGCTACTTATACATACTGTGATTCCATTACTACGTGAAAGTAAGTTAAGTAAGTAGATCTAAGAAAGGAACTGAGGGGAAATTTCCTACTTGATTCAGCCACGAATCACTATACCGCCAACGCACTTTTAATTTGAAACTGTAAGGAGAATCAATTCCATAAATCCTGTCATTAAATACTATCCTCTTCCCAAGAACAAAGCGGCTATCAATAATTAAAATCCTCATACACCACCTCCTTCCCCGACAACCACCCAGCCAACAAATTTCTCAAAGAGTTCCCCGTACACAAATACCACCTAGCCGCCTCCACACCCTCAAGATCACTCTTCGCCATCCTACCTTTACACAACATCGCACAAGAAGTATTTAATCTCTTCCAGGCAACCGACTCTTCATTCACAGCTCCAGTAACAGACAACCTCGTTCTTTTATCCAGACCAGGGTTCTGATCAAAAGTATCACTAACAAGAGCTAAATCATCCGCGCGAATTGTCCAGAAGAGGTGGAATCGCTGTAAATCAAGGTCCTTGCTCTGGGCGAGAAGTGGTGTGATGCCAACACCGGCAGCTAAAAAAGCCACGCTTTCGTTGGTATTCTGTTTGATGAATAAATCTCCACCGAAGCCTTGCAGGGAGACCTCAAGACCCGCGCGGAGATTTCGTTTAAATAGGAAATCGGTAACTACCCCGACCTTCCGGATCGTAATCTCGAATTCCTCGTTACTTGCACGAGAATCCTGACGTGAAGATACAGTAAAAGTCCTGATATAGTCATCATTGAGACTCTTCGGGTCATCGTCGTTCATGTGACGATATCCAGTATCTAATTCATCCTTGAAGCCTAGGGCTACATGTTGTCCTGGTTTCCACTGAAGACCTGGTTCTTGGGCGTCAGTAATGCGAAATCGAAATCTTCCTATTGTGGGTGTGATGATTTTCTTATTAACAAGTTGGACCGGTATCTGCTCGAGCTCCTTAGTACTTTGTGGAGGTTCCGTGGATAGATATCTGACAGGGGGGTTGTATGGAGAGTATTCCCCCACTTCCCCACGGAAACCGAGACCATTTACTACGAAGCGTACGGCTTCGATGTTTACTTTGACTGCCAGATTTGTGTGCGCAATCAGTTCTGCCGCCGATTTGCCAGCCAAGATCTCGGTGTTACCAGTCACGTAAAGCACATCGCCAGTTTCGAAATCGGGAAAGATCAGGCCTGCTTGTGGGGTGGTAATGAGGTTTCCGAGGGTTTGATAGAGCCGGTTTCCACTGTATTCTGGATAGACCAAGCTTGTTCCTTTTTCAGTCTGAAGCATTCGAACAAATCCTGGTGGACCTCCTCTGTGATTCGTATCCATATCTGCTTCCTGGTTTGAAGAGGAGATGAAGAATAGGTCAGACTTCGAGACAAGGTCAAGTGCTGCTTGAGGTAAAGGCAATTCAGAGGTAACAAGTTTAGGTTGTGGTATGCTGGGGAGGATATGTTTCTTGTTGAGATATTTCGGACAATTGCCTATCAGTGATTGGCTCAAGAAATCGCCTGAGGGGTGGCCAGTACATACCCAGCGATTGCTCAATCTTAACAACAAGTTGCACGTCGCCAATTCCTCCTTCGGTACCCTGCAAAGCTCCAGCAACCATTCGGCCATATAACTTGACCCTGCTCCTGGTCTCCAGATCGATTGCTAGCATGCCCACCATCTTCCCAGCGCCTTCAGCCTTCACCACTTCCCCGTCGTGTTTCCCCTCAAGAAGAATCTCCGCAACGGGGTCGTAGGATTGATTAATGACTGTTTTCATGCCTATTATTCCTTGAGCCACCGGCCTCGAAAATCCAGCCTCACCTCCCCATAACGACGTCCAATGCCTTCCTTTCAAGTCGAGAGCACCTATCGCAAGTATTGGTGACCGGATAAGAGTGTTGGCAGCATTTGGAGTAAGGAATGGTTGTGTAGGATTGTCACGCATGGGTACTTGAAGAAGTTTGTGCATGGCCTTCTCTCCATCGTGAAATGGGAACTCTTCGTAGAGTTCCATCGTGGACTATGGGTATAGTATCCGTATATGATGAGGGATTTGGCGGGGTAGCGGGGTTGGTTGGGATAGGAAGCCGTGGGTTCAGGGCGGTATTATATGGTGAAGCTTGCAAGGCAATGGGTCAATGGCGCGAAGCATATTAGCCATTGCTATTCCCCCCTATGTGTTATGTACGTAGGTAGAATAGAGCTGTGGATTTCTAAGCCTTTGTCAATGTGCAAGGAGGGGAATGTGCGGGTGATCTGGGATAGTAAGCGTCGCACTGAACTCGGCGCCCTGGGACTGGGAGCGTAGGAAAAGCGGCGGTGGTTGCGAAAGGTGTGTATGCACTGCCGCTTTTACATGCCACCTCATCAAATCCCGACGCAGTCATAGATTTTGGCAGAAAGCACACTCTACGACAACGACAACCTCGAGTCAGCAACTCAAATCTTGAGTGACAAATCCCTATACTGTTGGCAGTATCCATGTGAGAAGTTATTCCAAATACCCAATATTTCTTGAGCCCTATCAAATCCGCAACATATGAAGATTACATAGCTTCAGGTTTGCTTGGTATTCGGCGATGCTCACTCTGGGTGTCTCTAGAAGATGTAGGGTCAGATAAAGTTTTGGTCAACATCAGTCATGTTGTCTTTCACAGTGACCATCACGCTGAGGCATCAATGTCGAAATACAGAACTGATCACTTTACAAGGCACCAAAGAAAGCCAGAATGATGAAGAAACTCTCAATATTCATTTGTCGACCCCCTCCAGAGGCTCAAGTCATCGCCGCAGAATGACTATCAAGTGCGTATTCGCACGATATCTACTTTACATTTCAATCCCCATATTCGTTCAAGCCCACCTTCCTACTTTCCAGCAAGAATATATTTACCTCTGGCCATCTCCTCATTGATACGCCGCAGAAGCCTCCAAAGTATCTCTCTTTCTCGCCTTCTCACCAATGGCACGTGGATGAGCTGGTGGTGGATCGAAAGCAGCAGGCGCACACACAAACTGGTTCCAGCAAGCAGGAATACTCTCCGAGATACCAGTGTCGAATGTGAGAAAGTAGTTGTTTCCAGGAAAGTTGTGACGATTGGCATAGTCGAATGTCAAAGGACCACGAGTGATATTTTGGATGATGATGACGTATGGGAGTGTAGAGTCGAGTTCAAATCCCTCTGTGCCGAATGGGACGCCAGGATTGAAACCAATTTCAGTGCAGTTGTGGTCGTAGACTATGGAAAGTAGTTAGCTATGAAGAGAAAGTGGAGGGGGGTAGGATGTTGTAAGGGAGAATGAAGGGGCGTACCATAGAGTTCAGCTGTAGCCCAATCACCTGGCTTTTGACGGACGGTAACGCTGCATTCTGGGGATGGCCAATCTCCTCCTGGTCCAGCGGTATATCCATTGCAGTATGGAGCTGAGTGCCACAAGGTTTCGTCGTATGGGAAACCCTGCAGAGTGTTAGCTCAGAACACGACGAACATTGGAGGTTCAAGGGAAAAAGAAAAGGTTTCTACTTATACCCCAAGGGGCCTTACGCTGCGCCAAGGTAACTTGGAGGAGCGCAACGATGAAAGTGGTGATGATGGTGATGAGAGTCATGTTGATCGATTCTGTGTCGACAGTTAGCCAAAGCCAAAAGAAATGAGGTGCTGGGGGTGGATGAAGACTTGCTTTGATGGTTGGGTGGTATGTGAAGATCGGTTTGATTGAAATTGTGTATGAAAATTGTGGTTGAAGTTGTCAATTGTGCTCAAGTGTTTGTTGTTGATGGGGGGGGNGGGGGGAAACAGAGAGATTTTGAGGGTGGGAAGAGGTATATTTATACATGGCTTGAGAGGAGCTTCTTGAGAATAGCTGAATGACGTATCCGTTTGTTCGTTGAGAAAACTGAGGGACGTCGATATACTGTTGCTGTTGACGTCCGATTACGTCAAAAGCGCTCTCCTTTCTGTCTCGCTAAACTACATCAACAAATGTTACGTCACACCAACGACAGCAGTTCTGATCTCCCATTAGGCAAGATAGTGGCAATTCAAAACAACACACATAAAAGCACATGAATCAAAGAAGATGCTTTTACCATAAGGCTCAGAAGGATCAGGTATCCAAAACGCGTTGCTGACCGTCAAAGGGGAACGTGATGTAACAAGCATCTATGTTGTCCTGAACTACCGCGCATTTTCAAGTCAATTGGGACTCTGCCCACAGCACACACGCGCTGGGCATACTTCACTTATGACAAAATTTACATCATACGTGAGAACTGGTAAAACAATCCCAATCTGCACCAATCGCTGAAATTACGTCAATGGACTTCATTGCGAATTGATCATGAATCTCTATGACGTACAAGTGAACATGCAATGTGAATTCTTCACTATGAAATTCTCTCACTTCTGCGGTATGACACAATTGCAAGAGTCAAGTAACTCCATCTATCACAAAAGCACCTGTAAAATTAAAACTAAATCTGCAGTAGCAACCTCACTCCCCTCAAACACCCTGGAAACCACCCCCAGCCAAATTTCTCAAGCCCCCTTTACCTTTAGTATTACTCGCCTTCTTCACCTTTTCATCATCCTTATCCACATATTCTTGCCCCAACTTGGTCCCATCCCTCCACTGCCAGTACTCGAAATCAACCTTGTTAACCAAGGTCAACGCGTCAGGTCGGAGTCCAGGTTCATCTTTCAACATCATACGAACGACTGTATTTAAGAAGTCAGAGTAGCCTGCATCAGTCATGCGTGAGCAATTCCATTGATAATCTGAGTAACGAGATGGTGGATGTCCACACATCATTGTGTAGACGGTCGCGCCAAGCTGCCAAATCTCAGTGGCACGAGTCCAAGGGTGTGTATTTCGGTAGATCTCCTGCATTCAAGTAAGCAGAAGAAATACAGATCGGAATTCGACCTCACTTACTGGAGGCCAGTACATCTGCTTGTACTCAGGAGTATTCGGTACGCGTTCCGAGACCGCCAACCGTCCACCAACAGTCCCACAAACCTTCGCCCATTTGAAGCCTCCCAACTTACACTCCCCATAATGATATCCCTTCTTCCCATCCGGCTTCTTAAACCAAACCTGAGACGGACTGATATCGCGAATCAAAATCGGCTGCCAGTCTTGATCACGTTTCTCCCACTCCCCAGGAACACCCGCCGTCTCCTTGATGCCATGATGCAACCAGATAAGCGCACGCGCCATGCTGCGAAGAACATGCCAGCAGAGACCCTCGGGGAGCGCAGGACGTTTACTATTAACCGTCGTCAACTGCTCCCAGGCTGCTTTGTCGTCGAGCGCAGGGAGTCCATTCGCCAAGGGCACGATGTATGAAAGCGAGCCAGCATCCATATCCTCCCAGATCGTGACATCGCCACTTCCACCGATCAAGCTCGTATTGCCCGCTTGCAGCGAGTCCTGGACAATATCCACGAGCGAAACGATGTTGGGATGGTTGAGGATGCGAGATATTGGTATTCCCGCCACAGGGACGATAGCTTGCGCCATCTTCGTCTTGTAAGTTGCGATGGCGTCTTCTTCCTCTGAATCGTACGAGGCGTCGGAGTCGGCGCCATCGTCGTCTTTGTGTCGTTGGAAGTAGCCGGATATGCGTTCCTCTCTTTCTGAGAAGATGGGGACATCTTTGGTGTACACTTCGGGTATTTTGCTGGCGAGGTATCGGGCGCCGTCGGTTACTCGGAGGACTTGGATTGAGGAGGAAGAAGTGCTTTCTTCGTTCGCGTTTCGAGGGACGTAACGTTGATGGACGGACATCTTGGAGGTGATTTGGAGAAGTTGTTGGGTTCTCGGTGGTAGGACATGGTGAGGTTGGTGTTGATGAATGGAAACGGGTTTTGCGAGGAATGTAACTAGGGATAAACAACGAACGCCCTTGATCCAAACAAAGAGAGCTTGTGCGACAATACCTTATACAGGGTGATATGAGAGCAAGATTCTGAACATCATATTTCGATGACATTCGATATTTTCTGCGCTGTGCTTCAAGAGGTGACATTTTTGTAGTTATCATTCCACCATTGAAAACTGGAATATAGAGAATAGAAACCAGTCTCTTTCAAGCTTACATCGCATCAAGGAATGAATCTGAAGGCACATGCTCGCGAACAACAGAAACGAAACATCGTGATTGAAATAGAGCGCGACATATCTTCCAGGACCTTCTCAGATATGTGTATAATCCCTCTAGCTATCACTAGCACTCGAAATGACTAAGATAGGTTAAAGTAGTAGCATCTATTCTACTCTACCCATCCAATTCTTAGCTCTCCTCTGTGACTTGAGAGGAGTCGAGTAGGTGCTACTTAAGTAATACGAATCAAGTCGGTCCGCATAACGGAGTACGATCTTCTAGGGTAAAAAGGTAGACAGTTCGGTGTATACTTAAAATGCTCGCAGTCGCCTAGTAAAAACAAAAAAGCAGTATAGATCTATTCAAAACTAGTAAATTATGCCTAGCTATATTCGTTCCGTTTTTGAGGCGGATAGACCGAACAGTTCTTCCTCTTTACTTCGTATTACAAGTCAAAAGTAGAATTTGTGGATATCACGATAATCATACGACTTAACTCTGTACTGACACCAAGTCAAACACTGAGAAGTTATATTCAGTACACTATTCCATAGTAAACAAGTGTTTGGCTTCTGCACTTCTACAATCCGTAGTCAATCGAGGAGTTATCAATCATGACCTCCAAATCAGCGGGGTTCTGTAAGCTATCCAAATTACACTGAGTACTTCGCTCAGAACGCAAGTCCAGCGTTTTTAGGACTGAAAACCTGAGAGGAAGGAGTCCGAAGAAGCTCGTAAAATCTCTGGCCCTTTTCCCGTTCGGTGGCGTCCAAGAAGGGGATATGACTCGACTCAACCACAAGAAGGACCAATCGCCTTCGGAAGTTCGGAATTTCTCTTCAGATGTGCAGAAAGTTTATGGTCAAATGTTCTGTTCGTGTACCTCGACTGACCCGGATTATGTATGAGACTTGTAGGTATCTGAGTTCTACTGTATTGTGTTCACTGTTCTGGAATTACTAGTAATAACCTTCTCCCACAGTCTCTGTGGGGACGCAGAAATGTTCCTCACTCGTTCCTCTAAAACTGTAAGAGCACAGTCAACGCTGCAACCCTTTGAAGGAAGCTGGAAACCTCCCGCCCCGAGTGGTTCTCTTCTCAACGCCGTTGTCGTATCAACCACGATACAGAACACTACCTCATAACCACTCGTGGGTGGTGGTTGACCGTGATACTGCGCCCGATGGACAGATGTCTCGGGTGACATAAATTATGTTTTCTTGGAGGTTTTTGCTAGCCCAAATAAACCTTCGGGAGACCCTTACGCGAGGGTAATAAGCGTTTAAGGTTAAAATTAGTTATTTCTAATTCCCGCTGTATACCCGCTGTATACGAAGTACTAAATTCTCGATCCTTGAATCCTTACGCCTTTTTTAAGCATCAAACGCGTATACGAAGTACTAAGTAGCTATTACAGTAACAAACTTTTGTGAAGCTCCTGCAAGATTCTCTTACCCTTGTGAAAAAAAATCCTTAACCCTCGGGAAAGGCTTAGTTACCAAGAGCGGCGGTACAGGTTTACTTCGAAGTAAAAGGCATTTCACGAAGTGAATTTAAGCAGATTGAAAAGGTTATTACGGAGTACGGTGAGTCGATTTCTACCGTGTTAAAACGTAAATAGCTCAGTAGGATGCGCCAATGATGCTCCGTACGCTTTGAATGGCTAGTTGTATGCGTCGAAGGTCTTCTTCTCCTTGTGTGTAAAGTTGGGCTTCTCCGTCAAGGGACCTGTAGAAAGTTGAAGTGGTTTCTAAGTGGCCCAAAATGTGATCTTTCCGGCTTCTACCTCCTCACTATCAACCTACCCATATTCCTTACGGACGATTTATCACGGTACCTCTGTATTTCAATCATTAATCATCATGTACACACACACCTTTTTTCGTAGATTGAATTTTTTGTTCTAAATCGCTCAATCTCTCTTACTCTCGTTTAATAAGCTAAATTCCTTCCATGGAGACTCCTCCAAGGAGACCTCCGGCCTCGCCTACGCCCCTGGGAAGGAGCTTGAGAAAGGGGGGAGTACGCCCGATGCCCCCTCTGCCCAGCATACAACAATACTTCATCTCTGGGACTACCAAAGCACTAGAACGTGGTTCCATAGGCCAAATCATCTTCGGGGGCACGACAGAAGCTGTAGACCACTATCTAAGTACTGCTCTTGATGGGGCACCTCCGGACCTCTTGCCCTACCTCAGGGCCTTTTGCACCTAGGTAGCCGACCCCAGCCTAGCCTTCTACCGAACGTACACCTCAGCGGCCCCGCCTCCACTACCTTTAGTTCTCAGTGACTCCTACAGGGGTGGAAACAGCCCTACGCCCCCTACAATTCCAACCCCCTCTTTGGCTCCTGAGGGAAAATTTTCATACGCACAGACCACAAAGAATGCCCCAGCGCCTGAAAACCCAGGCTCCACTATAGCAACTACTACACTACCTCCTCCCCCGCCTCCTGTCACTTCAAAGATACAGAAGAATAAGAGACCCCTAGCGAAATCTGACCTTAGGGTCTTTATACGACTACCTCTAGACTCTCTTGAAAGGAAACACTCTGCGCTAGCTATTTACCTTGCCCTCTCCGACCCAAAAATTGGCTGTAAAGAGCTTGTACAGGAAGTACTGTTAACTCTGGATTTGCTATTGTCCCTAAGGACAAAGAAGCCCTTAATACTATTCTATTAACAAAGAAGGCCTTTATCTAAACCCTGTTCTCTGCAGCTAGAATAGAGACCTCACAAGATTGGGCAGAATTCCGCCTATTAGGGGTCCCTCGTAGTTTTGAGACTGTCGAAATTAATGAAAAAGGAGCGATTTTATCGACCCTTTCCTCTACTACTCCGCAAGTAGTAGCTACAACTATAGAGGAGCGAATTGGAATTACACCTACGAAGGTTGACATGGCCACTAGCTCTCTCTCTCTGACGGGCTGTTCTATACCTCTTTGTGAGGGTTGAAACCCATGATGGAGGCTCGGGCCATGCCCTCCCTAAGCACGACCAAAGTCCCCGCTCAGCACTGGCCATTCCCCCACTGCCAAGCAAGTCTCTGCTGTTCCATACTTTTCTGTTCTATTCTTTTGACATCATGTATTCGTTAGGCAGCTTCCTGGAATATTCCAGAGACTCTTCCTCTCTCTATATATAGAGGAAGAGCTTGCATGTATGTAGTCTTCACGCACTTCTTAATTGAATATTCGAAACCACACCTTTGAGCTATTCGAGGTCTGGCCTCTCACACTCTTGGATTGTATTCTTTAAGGAAGAGGAAGCTAGGGTCCCTCGCGCTATCCCCGACATGACATCTCTCCTTGGAAGAAGAGCCCTCTTTAAGCGCCTCCCTAAAGTCTCTGCTGTTATACAGTGCTCTAGGTGCTGGATGTGGCACAACTCAAGGAACTGTGGCAAGAACCAACGACGCCGCTTATGTAGCACCACTAAACACTCTAAAGCTTTCCACCCTAGGTGCATTAGGCACTCTCAGTATAAACTAAATTGCCTATACTGTAGTGGCCCACACGCCTCAGACGACCCTACGTGCCAGCTTAGGCTAAAAGCCTCAGGAACACACCCTTCAACTGAGAACAAGAGAGCTATTCAACAGACATGTAATGAGGTGCGGACAAGAAGAGAAGGAGACTCTCCCTGTAGTAGCGTAGACACGGTAATGGAACCAGAGCTGCCTACTACTCCTTAGAACCCCCCCCNCCCCTCAAGCTAGCATAGACAGCCCTCTTACGCCCTCCTCTGTAATTCTCCAACGGGCTAACAAGTCCCTCGCTACTACTACAGAAGAGGGATACTACGACCTCCCTAGACAAGGATACATAGACACTAATCCCTCTACTTTATTATAAGTACACAGGATTTACTCAACACTACTGCCTCCAAGTCCTACAAATCAATGTACACAAGTCTAGCGATTACCAGGAGCTAGTACTACAGCTAGCCCACATTAAGCGAGTTGATGTAGTACTTATCCAAGAGCTATATATCTACCGAAAGGAGATCAGTCGTTAGATCACAAGACGCCACCGGAATTACGATCCTTGCAAGCCAATAGACCCCAATCGCCCCCTCGCTTAAATGCCGAGACCTTGTCTATCTTAAATTTACACTCTCCTAAGGCCACTCACTTTACATACTCAACGTATACAACGCGCCTTTAGGTGCTAAGGGTGCAGGGGAGGCTGTTAGCCTTGTTCTTAGCTCTCAACATATCCTTATAAGAAACCTCTTCCTGGCTGGGGACTTTAACCTGAAAAGCCAACTCTAGCAACCTGACTTCCTTGGCCAAGAGAGTGCCCAGGCCCTCTCGCTCATTAACTGGATAGAGGATAGAGGGCTACAGCTCACTAGCCCTCCTTGTACTCAAACTCACAACCTTGGGAATACTCTCGACCTAGCCTTTTGCTCTAGCAACCTCTATCAAAAAGGGGCAGCTACAGAGGTTGACCTTACTTTTGAGTGCGGCTCTGACCACCTCCCGGTTCTCACTCGCCTGTCGTGCTTTAGAGGCCTAGCTGAGAAGGACCCCCCCTTGAAATTTAGCACTCTTAATGTCAAAGACTTTAAGGTAGCTCTACAGGGGAAGCTTGAAGAGCGATGGTTGTACGAGCTAGGTGAACAAACGAACACAGAATCGCTAGAGGCTCTAGCAAGATTTATCATTGAGTGCATACATAGTGCGTATCTCAGCAGTGCTAAGAGAGGCCGTGGGCATGGGTTTGGACACCCCTGGTGGAACAAGGAGTGTCAGTCTGCGGCCACTAAGGCCAGGAAGCTCGAAGGCTCGAAGCCAGCCTAGAGGCTGTGAAAGGTCTTCAGAGGGCTCTTAGAC